TTGAGACTGAAGGATGCCTATGATTGTTTGTACATAAGTCAATAAGGCATTTCTTTGTAAGTTTTGGAACACCAACTTCTTGAAATTCTCTAACACACAATTACAGTGGTGCCTTGACTTACAAAATTAATCCGTATTGGAACAGTGGCCGTAACTTGAAATTTTCGTAAGTCGAAGCACCATTTCCCATTGAAATGCATGGGAATGGGATTAATCCGTTCCAGCATTTCAAAAAATTACCAATACAGTAATAATAATTAAAAAATTAAAGCACACAGAAAGCCCCATCGGAAGGCGCTGGGGCTTTAAAAAAACAACCAAAAATAAACAGAGCAAGCCACGAGAGCTGTAAAATACAAACAACCCCAAAAAATAAACATCGAGCAATCCCCACGCTGGGACTGCAGAAAACAACACAGCACAGAAACATAACCCCCCTCAGCCAAAACCCACCCTGGAAAACCCACCCAGAAGTTTTTAAAAAGGAAAAAGCAGCACCTTTCCAGGCAGACTGAAGCCTCCTCCGATGGCACTCACTCCCTGGTGGGGAACCGCCTCCTGCACTGCTGCCGCATGCCCCATCCACGGAGGAGCCCCTTCCACCCGCGCACCTTTGGCCGCCCTTACTCATGAGTAGACCCGTGCCTTCTGTGGACCTTACTCATGAGTAGACATGCACCTTTGGCTGCCCTTACTCATGAGTAGACCCACACCTTTGGTGGGCCTTACTCATGTGTAGACCCATGACTTTAGTGGGGCTTACTCATAAGTAGACCCGCACCAGGGATGGGCAGGGAGCGCACCAGCTTCCTGCGCTTCACGGCGATCTGGAGCTGCCCCCTCCTCTCCTTTCTCCTCCTGCCCTGCAGAAGTAAAAAAGTTCTCTGACCCCCTGTTCTAACCGTTTGGGCGAAAGAGCTACAAATAAGCAGCCTTTTCACCACCAACGGTTTGAATTTCCTGCCCTTTCCCCTGCCTTTTTCTGTTCTTAGGTCGAAGCTCTGGCCGCAAGTTGAAGCAAAATTTTGAAGCCGAAAGTTTTCACAACTCAAAATTTTCATAGGTAGGGGTGTTCCTAAGTCGAGGCACCACTGTAAGTGGCGTTTCCCCTAGAGGGCCCAAGACTGGCTTACTTTTAAAATTCCCAATTTCCTTATCAGAAGTCTAATCCCCGCAGGTTTCTCACCCTAGCCTTGCCAAATCAGGATTCGGCCTGACACTTCCCTGCCTTCGTTGAGACTAGACCAGAAACAGATTCAGTAATGTCTCACAAATGCTCACTCAATCACACAGTTGTTTTCTGGCCGTGCCCCTCGCGGGGTGATGGAAACACGAACTCAGCCGTCAGACACACTCATGTGTTCGTGTGAACTTCTCTTTCTTTCTGAGACTTTCTCATACACTCCCCTCTCCCTCCCGTGTGCCAACTACTCACCAAGTTGCTTCAGTTTCAGAATGACCAGCCATCTTGGTTCCCTATCAGATATCCAGGGTTACGTTCATGGCGGCTGCATGGTGTCCTCCAGTCAGCGAGAAAACAGCTCCCCTCTGGCATAGTTGCCAGTGAGTGCTGGGGATTCTGATTCATGGCTGACTGGTTTTCACTGGAGCTGGGTAGAAGGCAATGTGGCCGTAAGGCAGCACACTTTTCCTGGCAGGCTTTTATGCCTTCGAGCCCCATGTTAGGTGCCTGGCAGAGGCCTGTTCCTCAGACCTGTCTTTAATGAACCAGTCCCTAAGAGCCAATAAGAGATTGAGTTGGGAGATCTGGATAATGTTTCTTTAATCAGCTGAGCAAAGAAATGGGCGGACAGTCTCTTTCCAAACTGCTGCACTTACAAACAAGCAATACCCCTTTTTATACCCTTAAACAGTTATACCATTCCCCCCTGTACCACACATTCTTCTCCCTTCTGTCCATCACATTCTTACAATCTCCTGATCATGAGTTGGCAGTTGCTCACCACCCCCGCCCAGTCCTGTTTGCACATACATAATCCATCATGGAGTCACTTTGGTTCCCTTCAGTTTATTTATGCATGAACTGTTTTTCAAAACCTGAAAGCAATGTACAGTGTATAAAATAACACTTAAGAGTCAGTAGAATAAATTTCTGAAATATAAAGCACAAACAACAAAATATACAGGGTAACAACGTATAATATCATCTTATGACTTCCAATTTGTCACATTCAAGTCATAGTCTTGAATTAGATGGACCAACATAAGTTGAAACAAAAACATCTTGCAGTGTAATATCTTTAAAAATAATCATTTTGCAAGCTCAGGAGCCCATTTGTTAAGGCCTGGTTCCTAATTGGTGAGACTAGCATGTAACACAACATGACTTACACCATAATATTTATTATAATATTCTTGCATTTTCATTTTGCATTGGTGGGTGACCAATTTTGAAGCCTTTTCTAAAAGTTTCCAGTTTAGAATGTTGCAGCTGAACTGGATTTCCATAATGGATCTGGGAAGGTCAGTCAACATCACTGTTGAAACTGACCCTGACAAAAGTCTGTTAGCATAGCAAAGGGTCAGGAGTTTTGGTTGGCAAACAAATTATGCTTTTGTGCAGGCAGTATAGAGAAGGAGACTGATAGAAAAATAGCAGTCCTTTGTGTTACAGCCTCTTGCAAGAAGAAAGAGAATACCAGCAGAGAGGTAAGACATTAGAGTGTAAATTTGATTGATTTGTTTTACTTGGCTTAAAACTCAGGGAATCCCCTGATTCAGTTTCGGACTCAATTTGCAGATCTGAATTTGGATTCAATACCCGACACCATTCAATTTATATCAAAATCAAAATTAGGAAATCCAGATTGGTTTGCATTAGAAAATTTAAATAGCTGTAAGTTTTGTTGTTGTTGTTGTTTCATAATTTAAGAACTTTTAGGGTGCTGTAGCTCCTTCTAAAATTACAGTTTCTTACTAGTTTCAAATAGACAGGTCCAATTATTTTTATGCCTTTAAGAACTACTGTTAGTTGCTTAACGATTGCTAAAACAAAATATATTTTCTTTAGCAGGGTACTATGTGTAGTATAGTATGGTGCTTGAGCATTAAAACATAACTTTGTAAACACAAAAAGCAAGGCAGGTTGAAGTCAGAATGAAATACTATAACCTTAAAAACCAGAACAAGATGAGGGTGTAACTGTCCAATAAGGGAGGTGCCACTATATAGTGAAAGTACTAGTACTAAAGTAACAAGCACATACTCAAATAAGCAACTGAGGATTTTTAGATAGGATGCAAATGGATTAGAACAGATTTAGAAAAGGAAAATTGAGATATGATATGAAAGAAAAGCACATGCTAAAAACTATTGTCAAGTCCCAGTAAAGTTAGTTAAAAAAAACTTGTACTAGGAAGTGCTGGTGGGATTCTTGCCCAGGCCAGATTAAAAACTGGAGGAGTCGGTGGAAGTGAAGGATACATTGTATTAACTCACACATTAAAATTTACATGCAATAAATGACCCACTGCTCAAATAAATTTAACAAGAAAGACAAAAGGAAGATTAGACTAAACTGCTCAAATTAACAGAACATCTTTAGAAGACAGAACATCTTTGGAAATGAAGACACAGAGACTCAAGACATATCAAAATAGCAACCACCAAATATTTTTATAACTGCAGAAAATCAGAACAGCTGCATAAGAGAAATGAATAGTGCTTCCTCTCTGCAAACACTATGACAAGAACGTATTGGTTAAAGTGTGGTATTTTGAGTTTACAAGCTAGACCGATCTAGGTCTCTTCTTCCACATAATACCACCAGAGAATTTTCTTCATATAGTGTTCTTTTGCAGCACTTTAGAATCACACTGCCTGTCTCCCTTTTGCTGTCCAAACCACTGGATCAGTCTGAAGCAATTCAGATCAGTGCAATTCAGACCAGAAATTGGCCATATAGATTGCATAGCCCTATTTAAAATTAATAGATTTACAACCAATGTATGTGTTCATCCTAAAGCCTTTCCTTTGCTAATTCCTACTATTTATTTAAAAGGATGTTCACTATTGTTGTTGTTTAGTCGTTAAGTCATGTCCGACTCTTTGTGACCCCATGGAACAGAACAGCATCATCTTTTAAGATTTTAAATAGTTCTAAGGCCCACTTGACTTTCACTCTCCAGGATGTCTGGCTCAAGGTCAGCAACCATACTATCTGGTTGTCTGGGACATCCAGATTTTTCTAGTATCATTCCTCTGTGTATTCTTACCACCTCTTCTTGATGTCTTCTGCTTCTGTGAGGTCCCTACCATTTTTGTCCTTTATCATTTCCATCTTTGCACAAAAGGTTCCTTTAATAGCTCCAGTTTTCCTGAACAGATCTCTGTTTTTTCCTATTCTATTCCTTTCCTCTATTTCTTTGCACTGTTCATCTAAGAAGGCCCTCTTGTCTCTCCTTGCTATTCTTTGGAAATGTGCATTCAATTTTCTGTAAATTTCCCTATCTCCCTTGCATTTTGTTTCCCTTCTCTTCTCTCCTATTTATAAGGCCCCGTTGGACAGCCTCTTTGCTTTCTTGCATTTTTCTTTCGGATGGTTTTTGTTGCTGTCTCCTGTACAATGTTGCAAGCCTCCAGGCTTGTAACAGGCACTCTATCCACCAAATCGAGTTCCTTACATCTGTTCTTCACTTCCACTGTGTATTTGTAAGGGATTTGGTTTAGATTATACCTGACTAGCCCAGTGGTTTTTCCTACTTTCTTCAGTTTAAGCTTGAGTTTTGCTATAAGAAGCTGATGATCAGAGCCACAATCAGCTCCAGGTCTTGTTTTGCTGACTGTATAGAGCTTCTCTAACTTTGGCTGCAGAGAACATAATCAATCTGACTTTGGTATTGCCCATTCGGTGATGTCCATGTGTAGAGTCACCTCTTGTGTTGTTGGATAAGAGTTTGTGATGACCAGCTTGTTCTCTTGACAAAACTCGATTAGCCTTTGCCCTGCTTCATTTTGAACTCCGAGGCCAAACTTACCTGTTGTTCCTTCTATTTCTTGACTCCCTACTTCAGCATTCCAATCCCCTATAATGACAAGAACATCTTTCTTTGATCTCAGTTCTAGAAGGTGTTGTAAGTCTTCATAGAACTGGTCAATTTCAGCCTCATCAGCATGGATGGTTGGTGCATAAACTTGGATTAATGTGATGTTGAAAGGTTTGCCTTGGATTCATATTGAAATCATTCTATCATTTTTGAGATTATAACCCAGTACAGCTTTTCCCACTCTTTTGTTGACTATGAGGGCTACTCCATTTCTTCTACGGGATTCTTGCCCACAATAGTAGATATGATAATCGTCTGAATCGAATTTGCCCATTCCCATCCATTTTAGTTCACTGACACCCAGGATGTCAATGTTTATACTTGCCATCTCCTATTTTACCACATCCAGCTTACCACGGTTCATAGATCTTACATTCCAGTACCCTCTCCCAACATTCAGAGTCACCCTGACTCCTCCATACACCAGGGAGCTATCAAAAGTCACAAAACTGCATGCCTTAACTTGCATGCCAACCCTGCCAGAAAGGAATACCCAAACATCCACAGAATATACGGGATCCATTAGAGGCATGAGGTAAGAACCTTATTTTGTACCAGAGCCGCTCTTTTTTTTTTTTTTACAGGAAACAAATTGTTGTAAACTTTTTGTTGTTTTATTAAATATTTTGCAAAAAGTCCAAAGAAATAAAGTCATAAGCAGTTTCCAAAATATAGTTCAAAAGCAGTTCAAATGTTTGTGAACCAAATATACGTTCAACATTTTTAAGTGTATGTCAATTCCAAATCAATTCTCACAAAAAATAAGAAAGCTGTCTTAGATTATTTACATAGAAGCAGAAGTTCAGCATAGGTCCAGAGCGTGCAGAGTAGCAGGACAGCAAGTGTGCATAGCATTCTCCTGAGAAAACAAGGCTAAGCTAAACTTATTCCCCATGGCATTTTTATACCAAGCATCCACCTTCCAGATCTTCCAATGCATTCCACCAATCAGATTCCATTTCACCCTGAAACTTCCAGAAGGGAGTCATTTTTGCTAAAGTAATTTCACTCCTTCCCCTTCCCTTTTCTTAGCTGAAATCAGTTCTTCACTAAGGAGCTTTTAGTACCACAAGAGAGTGTTTTATAACCTTGGAAATTCCATCTCTCACATTGATGACACACAGCGAGCAAAAACCTTCCAATTATCAGGCAATTTTCTTCCTTTTTCTTCTGGTCTACTGTTATCCAACACAAGCGAACAGCCTGAAGTTTCAAAGGTGCTGAAACCGTCATCACCACTTTTGTCTGTCTCTTGACATGGTCACCCTTCCTGAGCTGAAGTCAGCAAACTCAACAGCTAAAGCAAGCAGACATGAGGCTACAAAAGCATTTAAAAAGCATAAATAAAACTTAACACTAAAACCTAACTCTAATACATTTATTAAAACCACAACAAAAAATTATTCCCCATATAGTTCCTACTCTAGCCAAACAAGCAAGCAAGCTGAGGTAGTGCAAGAAACATAGCAGCATACAATGTGTAAGGAAAATACTGAAAGGCATTTATATTTAGTGGAAGTATACAGAATCAATATATTCGCAAAGGCTTTCACGGCCGGGATCTAATGGTTGTTGTGGGGTTTTTTGGGCTCTTTGGCCGTGTTCTGAAGGTTGTCCTTCCTAACGTTTCACCAGTCTCTGTGGCCGGCATCTTCAGAGGACAGCACTCTGTGGTCTGTGCTGTCCTCTGAAGATGCCGGCCACAGAGACTGGCGAAAGGTTAGGAAGAACAACCTTCAGAACACGGCCAAAAGAGCCCGAAAAACCCACAACAACTATACAGAATCAAATGCAAAAGATAAGGATACATGCAAGACATTAGAAATAAATATCTCTGATGATTCAGCCAGAATTCTTCCATTTCCCACCTTCCACAGTCATTCTTCTCCCAAATACATTCATGTTAGGCTGTCTGCTGCCAAATTCTCATGACCTCTAATGTGCTGAACCTTGAAGGTAAAAATTTTTAGTCTCAAACTGTGTCTAAGCAAATGCAAGTTATGATTTCTTAAACATTGATTTCTCATTCATTCTGCTTGCAGCAGAAACTTTCTTCTCCATAAATAAGGTTTTGGTTTAGAATGTAACCATAAAATTGCCACTCTTTATCAACCACAGAATAATTTCTCTCGCTAGGCAGAAATTTCCTGCTAATGAAAGAAATAGGATGAAGATTTCCATCAGGGCCTTTCTGCAACAAAACTACACCCAGGCCAAATTTGGCACCATCAAAATAGGAGTTTCGTCTTCAAAGTAACAAAAGCTTGTCTGTCCATTGAACTTTCACTGGCATACACTTTTTACACAGATTGGTTAAGAGAGTTGCAATGATACTAAAATAAAGAATGAACTTCCAATATTACCCAGTCAAGCCCAGAAAAGATATGACTTGCTTTTTATTTTGTGGTAGAGCCGTTCTTTCAAGACCATGGCTTTAACTTAGAGCCAAAATTAATTTGGGACTCTTGTTTCTCCCCATTCACCAACCTCTGCAATGCCCTCCCTGATGAAGAGTTCTGCAAGCCTCAAAAGCTATCCTGTTTCTGAGAATCTGGTGGTCTAATACAGGTATTGTCACCTTTGTTTTTGCATCCCCCATTAAAGCTGCTTCCTTGGCAGTCAATGAATTACTGAATACCTACCTGAACAAAATGTCTGCTTACCAGCAGAAGGAAAATGAGGAGGGGTCCAACCTTGTCTCCCCTCTGGGAGGTGAGGGGGTGGAGTGTTCCAGAGTTTCTGTTCAGTTCTATGCACAGGTGGCCCATGACTAGAACAGCACTAGTATCCATCTAAAGGTGAGGTGTCTGCCTGCTCGGTCTGTGAGACACCTTGGTTGTACTTTTATATTATCTAACAGCATTTGTTGCTGACATTTCTCAGTGAGTATGTCCTTGATTTTAAAGCTAGCTATTCAATTACAGTATCTTTCCATACAGAACCGTTAAAAAAACAATAGCAAGGAGAAGATGTTGAGGTTTTCCATGCTTCTGTTCTTTGCTGTCTCAGCAACAACCATCAGTGAAAAGAGACAAAAATGCCTGGAAGGGGCTGGTCACAAGTATAAGCCTACCCCAGAGAATTACTTGCAGGAATGCACCCTATATGCCAAATGTAAGTGCTGCAAAATCTGTGGATGAATATTTGCAAACCTATTTGACAGTCAGCCTCTACATGACCTAACCAGTTCTCCTGCCACTCAGATTACTGTGATGTCCTGGAGGATTTATTCCAATTGAATTTTAATATTAAAATTGTTTATATAAATGCCTGTGCTAAGTACCCCCTTTTTTGATGTCAGCTGAAAATTTCTTTGTGCTTTCATTTAATCTCTATGAACGTATGTGGTTTAGAACACATACAAACTGTATCACTTTCAATGGGAATTACTTCAGGTTGGCCTGTGTATATCTTTTTTATACACTGTCTTGCTTGTACATGGTCAATCAATGTAGTAGGTAATATTCTGTAGTAGATAAATGTAACACAAACAGCCATTGACACATTAGAACACTGGTTCTTAACCTTGGGTTACTCAGGAGTTTTGGACTGCAACTCCCAGAAGCCTTCACCACCAACTGTGCTGGCTGGGGTTTCTGGGAGTTGCAGTTCAAAAACATCCAAGTAACAAAGGTTAAGAACCACTGCATTAGAACATGCAAAGCTTGTAGTTCCCCCATCATGGACGAAAAGTGCTAAATACACTAAAACTACAAAAGTGGCTAAATACAAATATAAAAAATTGTTGTTCATCAAGACAAGATATTCATATTATATCTCATTTCAATATTTATGAAAATCAGTTTAAGAACAGGAGACTGTACTTTTTATGGAATGTAGCTGAAGGAATTAAATCCTACTCACTGCAAGATTTGTTCACTGGAAAGCATACAGAGGATTGCAGCCTAAATCCCTTTGTCAATAGATAGAAAGACACTAAAGTCACTATCTCATATCCAATATTAATAGTTAAACTGAAGTATTTAATGAATAATGTACTTTTGGAATTTTTAATTTCCAAGTTTTTCATTTGAAAAAATCAAAAGGAAAAAGCACCAATTACATTACAAGGACATCTTGCTTTCCATTTTCAAGTACTTATACAAATTCTGAATCTTCAAAACTGTAATGATTTTGAACAATAAACCTTTATTATGAACTGTTTGTTTTTTAATTCCCCACAGCCTCTTGTTGCCACGCAAACATTACAGAGGAACTTATTCATTCTCCCATAATCAAAGTAAATACCACCTACTGGAACAGATGTGGAAATATCAGTAAACTGTAAGCTAATTGTTCCTTTTTCCAAGTGCATTCTGTCTTTTTATTTATTCAGAGGCTCATTGGTTGTGCAGAGAGCCACTAGTATAACTCAAGGGAAAGAGTACAGCATAATGTTGTTGCTGTTTTCTTAAGGCGTGGCGCATATGGCTATAACAGCAGCCTTCAGAAATTCATTTGGTCAAATTTTTCTCAGGATGATGTGCAGTTATTGAACACACAGGACATAAAACAGAAAAAGAAAGGGTGGCCCAGAATCATCCCCTATCTAAATTCAATATTTACATTTCATTGACTTAATATTGCAGCTTATTATTGGTGCAGAATGGAGGACAAAAGTTATTGAGAGATTGAAATTAAAATAGGCAACACTACGCTACAGCACTTTCTAAAACAGTACTGTATCTCTTTCTTCTGCAGAGTACATGGCTTACTTTTCCAGATCACAGTTAAAAATTTGATATGTTCATTTATTCATTCTGACACTGGGAACTATAACATGAAGCTTTAATTCAGTTACCAAAATCCCACATCCACTAACAAGAATTATAGGCTGTAATTAATAAAATTGTGGCCATTTTTTACTCCAGTTATAGTGTGTGTGTCTGTTGTTTCAGGGACGGGGCTAGAGCCTCTTTAGCACTAGGCCAACAATCTAGCAGAAGCTACATGTAATGACAATAGTTTTTCATGTAATTAATAATGGTGATTTCTCAAACAACAGGTGTGAGAGTTATATGAAGAAAATAGAGTGCTTTTACCAGTGTTCACCACATGCTGCTCTCTGGGCACATCACCAGTATCCAGGTGCTATTGAGTCGGTTCCTCTATGTCAACACTTCTGTGATGACTGGTAGGTTGGATGTTACACTACACATTTTCTTGTAACAAATCCTTATACACACAGGTATATTCTTGTGTGCATGAAATTTATATTTGCAATTAAATAAAAGCCTTAATTCTTTTGTAAGACCAACAGAAACGGTAGCTGATAAAGTAAAATCTACAAGACTAATTGTGCTGCTTTGTTTTTTTCTGTTGCATTGTTTCCACTGCTGCAATTCACATGAGCAAGAGATAAGGTCTGTGTCAGCCTGTGCAAATGGGGTCTTCAGTACTTAATATAATTTTTGCCTGTTTAAAGGTATAATACTGTACACTTTGGGCTTGTGAATCATAGACAATGCCAGGAGGGAGCAGTGATGAATAAAGTAAAAAATCTCATTCTGCATTTTCAAAACATTGGACATAATTGATGCAGCATTCTGGATTGATGCCTGCTGTTTGGGGTGCCACAATCATATTAACCACCAGAAAAAAACATGAGTGATTCCTCTCGCTGTCGTCTACGTATATATTGTTTATATGACAGCAACTCTGTGAATGACATAGAGCTCATACATGAATAGCTTTGATTTAAGGCTTTTTGTCATGTGATAATAACTCCTTGAAACCCATTTTAAAAATAGAGTGGAGACTGGTAGACAGCATTTTTGGCTTTTTACCAGGTTCTGTAGCTCAAGGTGCCAACTTTTCTGTACTGTATTCCCATCTAGATTAATGAGGTGGCAGTGGTATAATTTATCAGAAACTGGGTTTGGATCCATTTGCTACCAATTTAATCCCATTTTTAAAAAATGAATTTATGTCTAGGTTTGTACTTAGACTGTAGATGTGGTCAAATGGGATTTACCCTCCTGTTTGGTACACTGTGGGCATGGTCTTTATTTTTTTTTCAGTGATCACATGACATAATAGTTGGAGCAAACCAAATAATCCCCAGTGCTTTCCTACCCATATTTTTCTGAGCTCGTTAGTGTTTCCACTTTAATCCCTTTCCACTTTAGTCCCTCTTGGTTCCTTGGATCGCATCCAAGATACCCATTTGCAGTATAAACATTTTATTGCTTAACAGTGTCGGTGAATATACAAAAACTTCAGTGGGCTCAACACAGCTATCAACTTGAGCTTTCACTAACCAATTGTCTTTCAACTCTGGGGTTGCAAATGAATTTACCAACGAGGGTTCACCCCAAACCTCTCCCGGTTGGTCGGCTTTCTTAGGGGTGGTCTCAGGGTAGGGCAAATAGTCCCACAACACAGGTAATGGGCCCATTGACTTTTGGTAGGAATCTTGGATTGTGTGGACATTTCAGGCATAGCTTCCTTCTTCCAACTGTGGGTACATATATACAGTACATTCTAATGGCTCTGGCTCTTCTAGATGCACTGCCACTCCTCTTTTCTCCTTCGTACACCATTCCATTCTCTCCTTCTCTCCCCAAGTTAGATGGTTTGCTCACTGGCTTACTTTTTTGTCATCTCTCTATCTCAGATAAGGGCACTTTCATATTTACCATTTTATGACTCCATGGGTCCTCCAGCTCTAGCCAACCCCAACCCAAGGATATGTCTTCCTCCCTTTCATTTTCTCTTGTGTCCTCTTTTTATCTTTCCACCTCTTCTATATCTTCCCCCTATCTAATCCCTCTTTTATATCCTCTTCTATCTCTTCCTCTATCACCACCCCCTCCTTGCTACTCATAATCATCAAGATTTCCACTATTGGAGGTTCTTTTCCCACCCTTATTTTACCACCTTGGTTCTCTTCTATTTTCCCACTCTGATTGTCCCACACTTTGACTTATGATATGGCTGGTAGTAGGGTATAAACCATTCCGTATCTCTCCTCCATAGATTCATGAAAGGGTGGCTCATTCTTGGCTCCCTCAACTGTGGGTTGCTCCAGCTCACAATTGGAGTCTTCTACCTTTTTTGTTGGTAAGAGCACTTTGGGCTGGTCCATTTTCAGTGTGTGTGATCACCGGAAAGGAACATAAAGCAAGCAATCTACCTGTCAAGACTCCCTTCAGTGCAAATTTCCAATATCGTGAATGGCTTAATAAGACAGACACTTCAGGGTATTGGCAAATTAAATACTTCCTCTGCTCCATAGCCATAATGCAGAACATCTTTAGAAGTAAACTAATGACATGGCTATTTAGGCAGCCTTTCCCTCCTGCTGTATTTTAATATCTATATTTTTACATCCTGGATTTTTGTATGTTGTTGGATTTATTATTTTTAAACTTTGTTATGTCACCCAGAGTAGACTATCTGTCTCGATGGGTGGGGTATAATCTAATAAAATAAATAAATTAAAAAACACATTTTCACTATCCTAATAGAGACTAAATTTTTTTAACTTCCTCTGCTCCTTCATCCAAAAGAGGAGGAAGTGTTTAATTTGCCAATATCCTGAAGTAGCTCTATTATTAAGCCACTTCATGATATTGGAAATTTCCAGTGGAAAGAGCCAGACCAAATAGGATTGCATGAGCTCTGATATGCCATTTGGATGCAACAATTGTGCCAAATGGCATATCACATGTCTACCCAACCCCAACCAACCTTATTTAGCCCACACCAGACCACTCTAAAAGATCCTGTACAGACAAGCCTGATGTTTCCCTAGCAGAAGCTGCAAGGCTGTTTATTAGATACATGCTAAAAATCTATTTAACATTCTACAGGGTTACTAAGAATAGTACTTTTTTTCCTCCCCCGTTCTGCAGATATCCTTGCTTGAAAATCTCCTGCTCTTTATAAAAATTGGTTTTCACAGTGCTCTGAGGGAGCAGGAATTTGACTTAAAAGGATTTAAGGAACTTCTGTTCCTCTTCCTGTTGGCTCAAGACTGCTTGCTTCCTACAGCTCATGTTTCAGCATGTATATGGGCTTTGGAGACCGTTAGGGGCAGATTCCCTTTCCAACCCACCTGCCAAATTGTTCTTGGACAATTACAGAGGAAATTGTGAACTTGACATATTTAATAACTCCCAGCATTGACATAAGAATTTGTTTTAAATAAAACCAGATATTTGGTGAGGCAAGAAATCTGACTTTGAGAGAGTTAGTACATTGCTTTTTGTTATTAGTCAATTTCTCTGATGCACTACACCATATGATTTTCCTCCAGATGTCTTCTTTTTACAGACTCTCTTTACAGTTTGAAATAACAAACTGGGTTATTTCAAGCACCTTTTTAAAACGAAGGCCAAATCATGACATAATTTATTATGGCTACATACAAGTTCCTCTAGTAAAGACAAAGCTTCACTTTAACTTCAATTTCAACATACTGTTGTCCTTTTTCTTTAAATAAGATTTAGGAGGTAAGTGAAAGGAGCTTAGACTGATGGAAGAGGATACTAGAGTTAATTAAGAGTTTTTTACTTTGTTAAATTATGAAACCTCAGTCAAGGACCTGTCATGGATGCAAACCTGTTCATCCTTATTTGGCACTATGGGCATCATTAGGATAGACTTTTGACTATAAACTGCACAAAATAAGAGTGCATGCAAGCAGAAATTGTTCAATGATAACTTCAGCAAAAGATGGAAAAGCAATTTAGCTGTTATTGAAATGGAAAAGCTGACTGAGCTTTTCCTGTCACCATGTTACATATTATGTACCCAACACAGTATCTGTCACGTTACTACATCCTGTTCTCACCACTACCACCCATAGATTTTCCCTATAACATACATGACCGGGGGAAGGGACTAGAACTGCACAAAAAAGAACAGTGGAGAAGGGAAGCCTAGAAGGGTTTGGGTTTTCTTCCCCAATGCTGCCTTTTTATTTTTCTTTTCTTTTTTTCTTTTCTCTCTCCCCCCCCCCCCTTTTTGGCAGTGCAGTTTCCCTTCCACTTGATACTGTTTTTTGCTGTACATACGTGCATGTCTTCCTTTTCTCTGGCAAAACCAATTTCCAATTTCTTTGTCTATATATACTATTCCTTTCCCCTCTAGTTTCCATTTTTCTTCTCCCTGTCTCTATGCACATGTAAGAAGAGAGATGGCAAACCCTCTGAGAGACACAAAGGACACCTGCACACATGGGGTGTGTGGGAAGGATGACAGTATTTTGTAATTTGCCATGCTTCTCAACCACAGACATTTTGCAATTGAACCTTGAATTTCCAAATGGGCCCACCACAGCTAGAGGCATGTGAGACTTGTACTAAGGTGATGGGAAAGAGTGTATCTCAGGGGTATCTCCAGTGCCATTGTTAAGGTTCATGTAAATATATTTCAGGTTCAGTAAAGCTGTGCTAACATTTAATTTGTACCAAAATATAAGAGGCAAAATTAATTTTCATAGATATTTCACTTCCTTTTGGGTAAAAACAAGCAGTGCATTTTATAGTACAAAAAAAGATAATGCAAACAAGCAAAATGTGGTTTTAAGGAACTTGATAACAAATGAGGAAGTTATTTGAGAGAGGTGGTCTTAATTTTAAAATCTCACAACTCTTGTAAATTGCTGAGAAAAGTCAGCTGTTACAGTAGCCTTTTTCTTCATGGAGTTGGTATTCCAATTATAATTTTCATTGCCAAACAGAAAGCATTAAAAGTGAGATATATCTGCAGCAACTTAAACATTAGAATATGTTAATTGCCATAATACCATTATCTGAGGTAATATCTGCATCTTTAATTTTATCTAGAGGGTTCTTAAATGAAACATAATTTCAAAACTGTTATCTTGGAATGAGACCTGCCAGTAGACACACCATTTATTTATATATTTAAAATTTTTATACCCTGCCTTTCTCTTCAAGAGGACCCAAGATGAACTAGAGTAGAGCTATGTAAGCAATGAGATTTACATAAGCTTGACTCTCAATTCAACAATTGATTCAATGGGTCTGTTATAATTAGGATGTGTGTTGGATACTGTATAGGCCTTACTAAGCAACTAACCCTCTTATAGACACCATCTAATGTCAAACAGAATTAATAGTACTGAGACACAAAGTGGACACTTTGTTCCTGATGTGCTGACAACAAAAACTAGGTCATACTGTTAAAAGGTCAAATGGGATTTGCCCTGGCAAAGATGAACAAGAAACAGGTTGACTAGCCAAAAGGAAAATAAACAACTCTGCCAGAGTAAGAGTGCCTCACCCTCATAATGTTTTCCAGTATGTATGACACTATGGCCATGACATCTGATAAAATGTTGGCCTGAAGTTTGCTTTTTGACATGGTGATGGTACAGTATTCCAACATGGCATGAAGAATTTGTCCAAAATTGCCAGCAAAGGGCTAAAAAGAACTGGCATATAAACCTGTGGAAAAATACTATACTGTGCTATACAAATCAGGAGATTTATATTCCACTTATTCAACTTTATACTCAAGCTATATATAAACAATTGGTGTAAAGATGAAGCCATAGACTAACACGGTGACCTATTTCCCCCCCTACACATATAGATGTACTTTTGTGGTCCAATGATACACTACAACAGTTCCAGAATCATTAAGTGTACCCTTAGGTATGATCTTTGTTTGCAAGAGTTTCTGCTTTGAAATACAATTTGTGTAAATGTGTTTTTCTTTAAGAATTCATCATTAGGAGAAAGCAAAGCCAGTGTATTGTTATTGATAGTGTGGATTTTTGGGAAGCAATTGCCAAATTTGCTTCCCAATATGCCAAATGAAGAAACTCCATATATTTTGTTTTGAGGTAAATCAATGGAAGGAAATATTTTCCACATAAACTGCATGGCTTCCTCTGTGTTGTATGGGATGGTAGAAACACAAGCAAGATTATTATCTTTTGTTTATTTTTCTCTTTACTCTGTAGGTTTGAAGCCTGTAAAGATGATCTCACTTGTGTTAACAACTGGTTGACAGACTGGCAAATTGATGAAAAAGGAGAAAACCACTGTAAAAATGAATGCATCCCCTACAGAAAGGTTGTATATAATATGTATACTAAATAGAAGGCAGGATAGAGTCCTGAATTCAACATCAGTGTTCTAATCTAACAAATATTCCTTTAGTGAGAAAACCTACCTATTCAGTCCTTTCCAAAATTCTGGTATTCTTTAATAGATCTTATATACAGTATTCAGTATTCCTACAGAAGCAAAGGAAACTGAAATTTCTGTTGAGGTTGGCCCACACAGCTAAATACAAAAGCAATTAAACTCCAAAAGGAATAGAATTTGACAGTACACTGAGGATAGAAGGTCTGTTTCAGTATTTTTCCAAACCATTTAGCCTTTCAATACAGCTATTAGCAGCTTTCTGTATGATATGTGCAAATAGCTGAAAAGACTGGTGGAAAATCATTGTCTTATTGGAAACAGTTTGTTCATGCTGCTAGATCTTGTACATGCCATCTAAATCTTGCCAGATAAAATGCTGACCTGGAATTTGCTCTTTGACACAGCTGTGTTAACAGCATTCAAAGGTGGTAGGAAAATGTGGCCCAAATTGCCAGCAAAGAGCTGACAAGAATTGATCCTATGGGAAAATGTGCGTGCGCGATAGTATTCATGCAAGTGGTTTGTGCCCTTTCATGGGGTCTCTGCTGCATGACTGATCACATACCAGTTGTAAAATTGGTTGTGCAACCAGGTGTGCCACTGACACCCTGCCAAGGTTTGCCAACCACTTGCACAAATACAGTAGTTGTGCAGATAATTTATTTGGCAGGATTCTAGGCACAATCTTTAGACTGGATAATTTAAATGTTACCATCTTTGTCTGCCCAACTCCTAGATGTATGCCAATGGAACTGACATATGCAAGAGAATGTGGGGCCATTCCTTCAATGTTAGCGATTCCACCTGCCTCTGCCTGCAAATGGATGAAATGGATGACAAGGCAATCAAGCTAATTGAAGAGAGGTTCTCCAGTAACAGCAGCAGCAATAGCAGTAGCAGAAGTGAAGAAGACCATTACTGTCTCCAGAAGATGGAGAAAAGGAGGGAGATGAAGAAAATGAAAGAAGAAGGCATGGAGACATCCTGAGTTCTGAGGTTTGGTGGAGGGGAGAAGCATATTCATGTTATTTCTCTATTAAATTAAAACCCTGCCATGATCTTAAAAATGTTTCAGGGTAGCTGATAACCATTGAACCATGAAAACAAAGCAGTCACAAAAAATTAAGAATTACATCTTAAAACCCCAGATAAAACATGTACAAATCAGTATTTTAAAAACCAATGGTAATTAAAAGCCCTGTCTAATAAACGTATCTTCATTTGGTAGCAGAAACTTAAATACTGTAAAGTGAGAAGGTTTCTGTTTCATTGAAGAGACCTCACCTAAGGTGTTGGCACTTTCTATGCATTTTGACCAATTAGTAGCAGCCCATGTTGGAAGTCAGATAACTGCCTTTTCATCAGAAAATTCCCAGAGAGCAAACAAGGTACAGGAAAGATGGTATTTAAGGAGGTACCTCATATCCAAACCATTTAGGATGCTATAGGCAATAATAAATACAATTAGTGGTGTAGCCAGTGGCATAGAGTGGTCGTATAGACCAGATGGGTGGGGTACAAATCAAATAAATAAAATAAATAAAAATAAAATAGTGACAAATTTGAGCATGCAAATGCTATTTATAATAGTCCTTGCAGTCATCGTGCTCCACTCTGCCCAGAAGAGTCCAAAATCACAAGCTACCAGATTGGTTCATAACAACAAAGGAGGAACAGTTATTTGCAAGGCTAGTAGCTCTTAGTTGTTTGCTCAAGATTAAACCAAATAGTCAAATACCTGATGCTGTAACAGGAAAATCTTGCAGCAATATACTGATGCTAGAAAAAATCAAGTTATCTCAACTGCTATAACAAATGTAGCTAAGCTCAGAAGAAACAGGGAAGCCAGAAAGGCAACATCATTGTCCATGCTACTCAGAAAGTCCCAGGGTTTTGACCTTGTGAGCTTTAGCTCTACTACACCACTGTTAGTAACATACAGGTGCTTGCAATTACATTTGTAAATTATTCTAAAATGGGTGTAAGACACTCACACATAGGAGTTCCCATGAGAACAGGATGCATACAATTGTGCTTTGGGATGCATTGAAACCTTTAGGTACTCTTCAGTAATATTTATGAAGGCTTTCACAGCTGGGATCTAATGGCTGTTGTGGGTTTTTCGGGCTCTTTGGCCGTGTTCTGAAGGTTGTTCTTCCTAACATTTCCTCAGTCTCTGTGGCTGGCATCTTCAGAGGACAGCGCTCTGTGCTTTGGTCCAGAGCACAGAGTGCTGTCCTCTGAAGATGCCAGCCACAGAAACTGGCAAAATGTTAGGAAGAACAACCTTCAGAACACGGCCAAAGAGCCCGAAAAACCCCACAACAACCACTCTTCAGTAGCATCTACATAGATCTTATTGCAGTAATTTCACTTTAGCCACACAGCCACATTAGCCACAGCCATGCGTGTCTGGTTAGGCCAAAGCGTGGGTTGCTGTGGCCATCTGTTCTTGGCTTTGGTGTAATCATGTTGGTCTGGACTGCTCTCTCCATTTCAAAGAAGATGTTAATTAAAAAGCAGAATAAATCAACTGCAAGCTTCATCCCTTAACTCAGTGTCTCATAAAATTACAGAGCCTGCTAATTGATACACATTTGGCCAAAGGACTAGTGCACCTAAAAAATGCAATAAATTTCAGATTTATAGAACTAGGTTCTTTCGGGACTTTTTCTGAGGTCTGTTCAGCAATATCAGTGCTGAATGAATTGCCATGGCAACCACCCTCAGCAGTTTGATCCCAGCCTCTCAATTTATGAAAAGGTTCCAGGCTGGCTCTCAGGATTCACAGCTGTTCCTGCTTGTTACCTTTGGGAAGCTTCCCTGAATTTTAACCCTGAAATGGGGCTGTAGTGGTGCTTTCTCTCACTGATTAGTTACTTGGCAAAAACATACTATCTGTTAGTTTGATCTTTGTAGGCCATGGTTTTGATCTATTCTCTTAGAAACAAAATTCTAGCTGCTGAATCCTAATGGGTTCTTTTACTGTTTAAATACCTGAAATTCTAGCCACAAAGGCTGCTGTGTTATCCTACACAGCTGTTTTTAAAAACAAGTAAGAAAAGGCAAACCCTGGCAGGTCTTCTTGAAGGCATTCACTGCCAGGATCTGATGGCTGTTGTGGGTTTTTTGGGCTCTATTGAACCAGAGCAGAGACAGAGTTCTGACTCCTGTCCTCTGAAGATGCTGGCCAAAGAGACTGGTGAAACGTTAAGAAGAACAACCTTCAGAACACGGCCAAAGAGCCCGAAAAACCCACAACAACCACCTGGCAGGTCTGTTTAAAAATAATTCAGAATTGCTGAACTTTCCCCCTTATTTCTGATTCTGTTCATCTGATAAGTCCAAATAATTGTAGTTCATGTGTTAAACTGATGAGGTGCTTACTGGGAAATGAGTATTTTTTTTATTTTATTAAAAAAAAGCGTAGATGTATTCTTGAAGGCAGAGCACAGACAGAGTTCCTACTCCTGTCCTCTGAAGATGCCAGCCACAGAGACCGGCGAAACATTAGGAAGAACAACCATTAGAACACGGCCAAAGAGCCCGAAAAACCCACAACAACCAAAAGGCATAGAATTTTGAACACCTCGTTAGTCATTGAATAAAGCTATTGTAAAAGTAATGTGCACAGGAAGTATTACCTTTTGTTTCTTTGTTCATTTCCTGCAGTGTCTTAGAAGTTCCAGGACTCTTTTACCTGCCAGGTAATCTCCCTGAAGATCACCAGAATTGATGCTAAGCCTGGCATGAGGCAACTTCTGTCTTAGCAGAAATCAGAATCTGCACTGGTCAATCTTTCCCATTGTTCTACTAACCAGAAACAAACAACTACATTTAATCCAACATATCATTTGTGTTATCTGTTATTTTAATACAATAATGCCACCATTTGCCATAGGCTTTTGTAGACTGTGTGGCACTTTGTCAGATGCATCTGATGAAACACATCTGATGAAATGGATTACAGTCCACAAAAGCATGCACTAAATAAAATATACTACTCTTTAAGATGCTACAAGACTCTTTGTTTTTGCTGCAGTAGACTAGTGGGAATAACCCCAGATGGTCATTCTTTTGTTGACAAAAAATCAGCCAGTCATAGACATAAACCAACTTTTAAGAAAGCATGTTGCTGAAATGCTACTATGCTCAACAGAGTTATAGGCTGATCTCTTTCAAAGACTATGTGTGGATGGGAACAAGGGCGATGAAAGAAAATCTTTGAGATGACTACTGTAGTCAGTAGCACAGATGAACACAAAAGCTGTATGTTCAGCTATAGCAGAAACATCAAAGACTTCTCTGGCTACAGTGTCATTTTCCAAGGAAGTGTGTGCCTTTGTAGAATGGTAGTTTCTGCACTTTATACCAATTACATCTTTCCAGTCTTTTTACCCAATCTGGCCAGCTCCTCAGGTTTGTTTAATGTTTTAGAAACAAGTTTGTACTTTTCTCAAAATTCTGTTTCATTCACATTGTATTTTCACATAAGCCTCAGATGTCCCTGGCTGTCTTTTAAGTGTTCTCTGTTCATTCCTTGCCACTTATTTGAGCAATTTCTGCAGTGACCTTGGTGTACTATTCTAAGGGAAGTACCTACCATGTTCTGAACCTCTTTTTCTAGTGGTTTTCATAGTAAAACATCATGTTCTCTATGTATTACTACTGAGCAATCCTAAAAATATTGTCTCTACAATCAGCTCTACATAAATCTTTTTGTTTGATAAAAAGCTGGTAGCCACAGAGAGCAAAAAATGTGGAAAGCATTAGGACAGGCTACATTTATAGAATGACCTACCAAAATAAGGCTACACAAGCACATTGTTAAGATAGGTTTTAAAAACACTTATAGTAGTGAGATAATTAATTTTTTCCCCAAGAACCCAACACAGCTATTTAATATTAAGGAGTGTTGGGCACCTTTCAAAATCTGGCTAAATTTGCTCCAGAAAGCAAAAGAGCACTTTTGAGTCCTCCAGGTTTTTTTAAACAAGGAGTACAGGAGTGCATTTTGATTCCTGGAGGCTGCATGCTTCCCACCTCTGACCTACAAGGATATAACAACTTTCTATGAAATATAGATGTAGCTGATAATTGTGAGGAAGCTTTTCAGATGTAAGATCACAAGCAAAAGATAAGTTTTTGATTCTCTTCTAACCAGGATGTCCTATGTAGTTTAAATGTGAAACAGTAAATTCCTAAACAGAGAACTGTTTTGGAAGAAATTTTGAAATCAAGAATTCTAGATGAATCTCAAAGAAGCAAGGATAGAAAAAAATGTCAGTAATAAAGTTATCATAGTTCTCAATCTTCATAGTTTTACATTGCCTCCGGTACAGAGAAGAGGTTGCAGCAAATGTAACTGGCCACAAGAGAAACTTAAAGTAACAGGGAATGAGCAGACCATGCTTTCTACAGATTCCTGAAAGTCCTTCTGCAAGTTTTCTGAGTGTTGTCCTGTTCAGTGAAGTGAAGTCATGACCTTGCACTTCAACCAACTCCCTACATAATTCAAATGTCATAAAAATAATAATCTGTCACAATTCTTTGAATGCTTGCTGCATAGCAGATGTCTTAATTCTGTTTTTTTAGAAAGATCAAAATTATTAATATTAGGTATGTATAAATCAAGGTGCTTATTGTGAGTAAGTGGAAGATCAAGTTTTAATATTTCAATTATAAATATGAAATGCATGTTATTTTTTTAAAAGAATAATCTCATGTTATATGAAAATACATATAAGAATTAGGAAAAGCACAAAACAGAGACAACAATAATACTTACAGTAACTACAGTACTTTGTTTAGTGCCTTTTATCCAGGAAAGTCTGGACACCAAGCAGAATCATCAGATGTATAAGCTTCCTAGATTTCCTGTGTTTCAAGGTGCTGTCAGTTCTGTGTTACTTAGGTCTCGGCAGCTACAAGCAACCTTGTGCTATACTTTTGTCTTTTTACAGTCAATTGATTACTTTTCACAAAGGTCAGTAGTTACCTGGTATCAGAGCCCATAAATAGATGAAAAGGAATAAACAAGATTATAAAAAGAGGGCTTACGAAAATAAACAGTGTAAATATGTAAAGGGGGGGTAATTGCTACAGTAAATACACTTCTGCCATATAGCAGAAATAACATTTAAAATTGGCTGGGATGAAGTGGAAATAGATAAAATCCCAAATAGATAAAAACCAAACATGATGTGCACAATTCCTCACCCACTGAACATGTGCATAAATAAGTCTGCCAACTCGGACAACATTCTGTGCATCTGGTGAGGTGGTCTGTGAAACATTAGTTTTTAAGGTGTCACTTCATGGGCTCTGTGATTCACGGGCTCTCTGATTCACATGTATGTGTACTTATGAGCCTGTGCAGATCGTCTTGGGAACATTCTAGATCTTTAACCCCTCCTCTTAGTCAATATACCACTCCACCCAAGAGTTGCCCATTTGTTTCCTCTAATCCCCAGCTAGGCAGCATCTTAGGAGTGTTCAGAGCAAGTATGCTGTCTTCGAAATAGTTATTCCTTTTATTTCTGTGTTACTTAATCTTATAACCTACCTTCTCTTTGCTTTCATCCTTCATCAAAAAAACATTAAGTGTTGTTCATTGTTGTCATTGTCCCATTTATGGCTTCTAATGCCCCATTCAAGCACTGTGTATCTTGTGGAAACAAGATACCCTTAACTGACAGCTGCAAGGAGTGTCTCTACTGTCTGGATGAAGGTCAACAAAAGCAGAAGTATAAACTTTGCCAAAATGTCATGAAGGTGGCCCTAAAGAATAGGCAGTTGAGGAAAAAATTCCTCTTGTGAGAGCAGTCACTCACGGACATTGACTCCATCTCTAAAGAGCAGGCCTCAGTTTCAATACCAACACCATCAATTTATCAAACTTTATTTTAAAAATATAATAGAGACTGTCTAGTCAGAGAACAATGAAAGTTTAGCCAATAAATAAATTTTTACCTGCTAAACCAGCCCCAAGAAAGCCTCATTCCAAGAATCCTTAATCTGCTAAACCAGCCTCAACAAAGCCTTATTCCAACTGTCCGGTTTCCAAAATAGCAAAGTAATTGACACCAACTTCTTTGATATTGAAGAAAAGAAAGAAGGTGCCCAAGTTGGAACCTTCAAAGTCTAAAAAGAGAAAGGGGAAAAAAGAGAGAGAGTTGGCAAACAAGGATAGTCCCCCCACCAACATGTATTTCAGATTCATGAGAGATTACAGATATTGCCTGTTTGGATTCGATATCTGACAATAAAGTGATTCCTTCTCAACAAGGTCTGAAAAAAATCACCCAGAAATGATTCTTATACTATCCATATGGAGAGATTTGGTTAAAGAAGATAGATCACCCTTTAGAGAGAGCTCAGTTAATGGGGGGAACCCATAGCTCACCCATATCTTTTCTTTGCCCTACTACACATACCTTTCTATGTGGGTGCAGATTGGCATGTACCCATGTCCTCTTATGATGAACAATGGGCTAGAGAGGTATTTCAAAACCTGTTTAAAGAGATGTCGAGATCAAGGTCTCCTTCAGGGATGTCAAGCCATAAGTACTCAATAATGAAAACATCAGCACCAAGAAAAGCTTCAAAACTAATGGATACCTCTTCAGCATCAGTACTGAAAAGAAGTCACCATTGAGTCTTCTCAGAATAGCATGCAAAAAGCACTAGGGCAGGTCCTCAGTTAGTTTAATGTTTCAGACTCCAAACATCAACTTCAGAATTGACCTCCTACTCCAAAACTGAAGAACCAGTCCGTTTCAAAGCAAATGGGAATGTGTGATCAGGTCCACTCTCCTTTGCCTCTTTTTTCATAGATTCATTCAAAGAAGACAGTAGACCAAAATCTTCTAATAAAACTGGTTTATTAATTAACATATTCTCATTTGCATATGTAGTCTATTCATCTGTCTCTGGCTTCAACAACAAGTCATAATTTTAAACTTTCTTAAAATCAGGTAACTCTCCATGGTATGAAAAAAGGGAAGAACTAACAACTTCTTGGGCCCATCTTGGCTCTGAACCGCACATTTGGGTTTCATGTTTACAGGTCTGAGTTCCGAGGAGGGCAACCCCATCCCCCTTGTGGTTCCCATACCTTTGGACCCGGGTTTGGCCTCTGGCGTGGTCTGAAGGGATTAGGCCCACGGGATCTCCCAGGGTTCATTGTACATCCTTTCTGCTCTTTCTTTTGTTCTTCTCTTCTAACCCAAGCCTTATACTCTTTCCTTTGTTTCCTCTCCTCCGTTTTACCCCAATATGGTGGCTTTCTGCATATCTGTTTCTTCCACTCTTTCTCCACATATTCTTGTGGCACTCTAAATTCTACCCATTTGCCAATCCACGGATCCTCCTGAATTATCTCCACCAATTCCTCTTTTTCTCCTTCTCCTCTCTTCCCCAACAAGCTTCTTCCTCCCTTTCCTCTGCACACCCCTCTTTATTCTTCTCCCCCCCCCGATTAGTGCCCTCTACTGTCTCTGTTTTTATATCTAATTGTTTTAATCCCTCTTCAATGATTTTAACCTCTTCTTCCTTTCTTCTGTCAGAGACAGATGGTGCACCCCGCGGAGTCTCCTTGAGGGGACTCTCAGCCTCACAGAATGATAAAGAAAAAAAAAGTAAAAAACAAGTTAAATTAAGCTCAAAAAGTACTAATCTAATCCCCAGCTAAGTCGCAGGACACTGATATATATTTTTCCCAAAAAGAGTCAATGGAAGGACAAAATGAATAACCTCAATTTGACACAGATAATTGAATTAGAATCCTCTGATGTAGAAGGCAGTGTCTTGTCCCATCTATCTCTGAGCCCAAGATATGACAGCTCCAACAGCCTTTTAAAAAGGGGTCCAAGTACAGGACATTTGCAAGGCCGCAACTTGGTCCCAGCCTATGACTTTTGTGAGCCATTTATAGTTTGGATTTTAGGCAAATTGGATGCATTGTTCACCCATGCAGTGCTGTCTTTTATACTTGCCTGACATTCCACCACCTGGTTAAGTTAGCTGGGGAGTCACCTATGTGTGTGAATCACAGAGACCACAAAGGAGGACAGGTTACTTACCTATATCTGTGGTTCTTCAAGTGGTCATCTGTAAATTCGCACGATGCACCCAACCTTCCTTCTGTCTGTCATAGTACTTCCACTTATGCTGTGGTATCGCATAGAGGGAACAGAGCAGCATTTGTTGGGTGGAATGGTATGTTAGCTGAGAGGAAGCTCCAGTATGTTCCTATCTGTGCAGACACAGAGGTATCCATGTGTGTGAATTTGTAGATGACCACACAGAGAACAACGGTTACATGTAAGTAACTTGTTCATCAACTCTTGTTTTTGCTGCAACCCACTACATGTAAACATGTTTCAGATCCCTGGAAATATTTATATTATCCATAAAAATAGATAGTGAAGGTGAACTAAAGTTCAGAAAGCTTGCAAAATTAGGTAGATCTTCAACATATAATTGAAAGACAAGGTGGAGTTCGTTGTGGTGAGAGGTTTCGGGAGAGCTTCTGAAACGTATCGAGGCCCCTCAGTTTTGAGCCCCCCAATTTAGGGGGCAAAAGGACGGCCCACTAGGAAAAGCGGCATCTGAAGCAGCAGAGGTGACAAAGAAGGGGAGAAGAGATGGCAGAAGCTGTCCCCCCCTCCTAAAGTCACATCTGAGTGCACGGACCGAGGAGGAAGCCATTTTGGGCAATGAGCTGGGAACACCCCTTGCAGAGAGTGGAAGAGTAGAAGGATTTTGGAAAATATTTTGACCAGGACTCTAAGTCAAGATGTTTGTTTTATATAAGGAAAACCTTTATGGACCTAAAATAATGATACAGAAAAGAGCTGGGCATAATGAGTCAGTGGAAATGGATTAGCCCTGTTAATTCTCTGAGCCACGACAGAAGAGAGCCTCCCTCATCCCTCAGCCTTGATTGGAAGGAGAAGAAGAGAGAAGGAGAAAGAAAGAGGATGGGGGAGTAAATTATTTTGTGAACAAATGGTATTAATCAAAGGCAAAAACTTGCTTCTGCGGGACAGTTTAATTTTAAACAGTCTAATTACAATTACTACAATGATGGTTGTTAGTAGAATCAGAGACAAGAACTTTTGAATTTTGAAAGAGTTTTAGTTTGTGTACAATCATCAGATTGGAGGCACCTCTGTTTCTTTGGCACCGTGGTGGAGGCAACTTTCCCTCCTTCAGCTCTGAGCAGCTTTGATTAAAGGGGGAAAGGAAAAGAGAAGGATATTAAATGAAGGAAACTATTTTAAAGAAGACAAAGCTCTTCTCCCCAGTTAAAAAGGTAAAGGTTCCCCTTGACAAATGTCCAGTCATGTCCAACTCTATGGGGCAGTGCTCATCCCCATTTCCAAGCCGTAGAGCCAGCGTTTGTCCATAGACAGTTTCCATGGTCACGTGGCCAGCATGACTAGACACAGAATACTGTTCCCTTACCACTGTGGTGGTACCTATTTATCTACTTGCATTTGCATGCTTTTGAACTGCTTGGTTGGCAGGAGCTGGGACAAGTGACAGGAGCTCACTCCATCACGTGGATTTGATCTTACAACTGCTAGTCTTCTGACCTTGCAGCACAGAGGCTTCTGCAGTTTAACCCACAACACCACCACTGTTAGACACCCCTAATTACTGAGCCTGGAAAGAACGATTGAACTCCTAATGTTATTTGCCTCAAGGCACTGTCTGTTCCTTTAAACACTCATTGTTTTGATTTGCAGACTCTAAGAACAGTTTTAAGGGACGTGGTGGCGCTGTGGGCTAAACCACAGAAGCCTGTGCTGCAGGGTCAGAAGACCAAGCAGTCGTAAGATCGAATCCACGCGACGGAGTGAGCGCCCGTCGCTTGTCCCAGCTCCCGCCAACCTAGCGGTTCGAAAGCATGCAAATACAAGTACATAAATAGGGACCACCTTGGTGGGAAGGTAACAGCATTCCGTGTCTAAGTCGCACTGGCCATGTGACCACGGAAGATTGTCTTCAGACAAACGCTGGCTCTATGGCTCGGAAACGGGGATGAGCACCGCCCCCTAGAGTCCAACATGACTGGACAAAAATTGTCAAGGGGAACCTTTACCTTTACCTTTTAAGAACATTTTAACTAGAGGGAAGCTCTAATTTACCTTCCGGATTTGCTGTGTAAATAGTGTTGAATGGAAGAAAAGTATGGCAACAAAGATACCTGCTGAAAGGAGACCCAAACGGCATCCTTTGATAATAAAAAAACTGGAAGTAGAGACATAGCAATGAAAGGAGGAAAATAAAAAATGCCGAGAGGCTCACCTGCACAAGAACAAAATCTGAGTAAGTTATTGGGGCAAGAGACACTTAAGGATTGGCAACAGATATGTTATCTACAGGATTACAGCAAATACAAGGAGGGATGGCTCAGCTATCTGAACAAATCAAAGATACAGTATAGGTATATAAATGACTGATATTAAACACCAAATTACAGAAAATAAAAAAGAAATACCTAAAATAGCAAAAGTAACCCCCCCACACACAAAAACCCAGAAAAAAGAGTGGAGACCATGAATGCAGAGCTGAAAAAGAGACAATATGAAAGAAAGCAAGA